ACCCATCCATCCATCAGCATCCACCCATCCATCTACCCATCCACCCATCCATGCATCCATCCATCCACCCATCCATCCATTCATCCATCCATGCATCCATCCTCATCCACCCATCCATCCATCAGCTTCCACCCATCCACCCATCCATCCATCAGCATCCGCCCATCATCCACTCATCCACCCATCCCACATCCATCCATCCACCCACCCATCTATCCACCCATCCATCCGTCCGTCCATCCATCCATCCATCCATCCATCCATCCATCCATCCATCGGGGCCTCCTGCTGCACCTTTCCCTACGCTCTTCTCCCTGCCTGCTTTTTCTCTGCACCAGTTTTAGCATCTGTAAGAAACCACAGTAGGGGTGCATAGCATACCCCTGTTGGGGAAATAGAATTAAAAACAAAATCTCCAGCCAACTCAGAAAAGCTCCCCACAAAAGGAGGAGAAAAAGAGAAAATTTTTTTTTTTAATCGAATAAGCATGAAAGCAGAAAGAGATGCACATCACAGGTGATCCGCTAAGAGATTAGGAAGCTGAAGGAGATCCCCTCTCCCTTACACAGCCCAGCTGACACAGCCTGCTGCACACGGTCTCCAGATAAAGTGTAACTCGTCCTCAGCAAGAGGACTTCCCCAGTGGCACCGTTTGTCACCCAGAGTTCATCCTAAATTCACCTGGCCATTGGGGTGGCCACCTGTGTTTGCTAATTGCCTTTCTCCCAAGGAACAGGGTGTGTCTCCTATCTTTATGACGGGATAGTTCTGCAGCCTGGAGCTGGGCACCCCGGGAAGTCAGGCCCCCACCCACCCTCCCCTGGGTCACCATCTTCCTTGGTGTTTACATTTCTTTTTTTTTTTTTTTAAAGATTTTATTTATTTGAGAGAGAGAGACTGAGAGAGAGAGCACATGAGAGGGGGGAGGGTCAGAGGGAGAAGCAGACTCCCCGCTGAGCAGGGAGCCCTATGCGGGACTCGATCCAGGGACTCCAGGATCATGACCTGAGCCTAAGGCAGTCGCTTAACCAACTGAGCCACCCAGGCGCCCCTGGTGTTTACATTTCAAGGAGGTGGCTCCCAGGGCTTGGAGGGAGGTGGGGGCGGGGGGTTTGTAAAGCTCCCAAGAGGCTTTGTGTAACTTTTGGAAAGATTTACATGCCTCTCGAAGGGGCAGAGAGACATTCACAATGTCCTCTGAGCCTCTTTAAGAGGACATCTTATCTGCAGTGGGTGAGAGGCCTCTCCAAGGCATGGGACACACAGTAACCTGGAGGGAAGAGGTGGC